GGCCACCAGGGACCTGCAGCCCAGCCCGTCCAACCTGCCTCTGGGTGGGTTCTCCAGTGCCTTCACTGATGGATGGTCCCGTGCCCTCCCCTGGCCACCTCCCTCTGCTCCACGGGGTCCCTCCTCCCTGGGGTGGGTGGGCGCCCTCATTGCTGGGGTGGGATGGGGTGTTGGTGCTGACTCCAGTGTCTCACCAGGGTTCCTGGGTGAAGGCGATGCCATCACCAAAGCCATCCAGGACGCGCGGCAGCTGCTGCACGGGCACAGCGGAGCCATGGATGGATCACTGAGCAACCCCTACCGCAAGGTGGTGGTCACCGTCCCCTTTCCTGACCTCACCATCCACAGACCAGACCCAGGTCTCCATCCATGCGCTTGGAGCTGGTTCCTGACTCTGCTCTCCTGCAGGACCATGTCGGGATTGATTCTTCCCCGGTGAAGGAGCGGATGGAGGAGACCCCTGCCCACCGGCTGGATGAGACTCTGTTGAGCTTTGAGATGGATGGTAATGATGGCTGAGAGCACCATGGTGTGACCTGGTGCTTGCTCCATCCTCTGGCACCCTCTGGTTTCCCCTCGCAGGCTCCCGGCACTTTCCGGAATCCAGGAACAACAACCACATCAAGCGGCCCATGAACGCCTTCATGGTGTGGGCAAAGGACGAGAGGAGGAAGATCCTACAGGCCTTCCCAGACATGCACAACTCCAGCATCAGCAAGATCCTGGGTGAGTGCTGGGGATGGCAGCTGGGGGCTGTCATCTTCATCCCCACGGTGGGACATGGTGAGTGGCGGGCTGCTTGTTGTCACATCTTGTCCATGGCTTTAAATAGCTGGAGCTGCACTTTTAGCAGGGGGGATACCTGCAGATGGATGAGTGCATGGGGAAGGAGGTGGTGGAGGACACCCAGGCACCACAGGCAAGGGGCTTGCATGCTGCTGTGCTTCAGTTTACCTGGGCCACCCTGCTTGTGGTGCAGGAGTAGGAGATGGAGCTTCCTGGGGATGCTGGGCCATGCTAGAGGGAAAAGAACACCCAGGAAAGGGCTTATAGGAGGATTCAGGTGATGGGGGGATGTCTCTGGAGGTCCCCAGCCCAAAGCCCTGCTCCAAGCCCAGATAACTCCATAATCCCATCAGGACGCTCAGAGATGTGTCTTGTTGACTGTTGAGCATCACCAGGAGTGCTGAGATGACCCAAGCACATCCAGCTTGTCCAGAACTGGACACTGGGCCAGCTGCAGCCTCCAAGGGGCTGAGCTGAGGGGGTAAATCCCATCTCTCCACCCTGACTGTGCTGCTGGCGACAATGACAATAAAGGCCAGGCAGAACACGAGCCACCCTCCACGCAGCCTATTCCAGCTGCAGCACCTCCTCACCGTACCTTGGAGAGGATGGAGAGCCATAGGTTGAGAGGTCAGGGCTGGGGGCCTGTTCCTGGTCTGCTGCACAGGGATCCCATGGGGCAGATGCCAGTCCATGTGCCATTTGGGCAGGGGACGGTATGAGCATGGATTAACTCCTGCACTGGCTGTGCTGGCCGGGAGCCGGTGTCACCGCAGCAGGCAGGGTGTCAGCGTTGCTCCGCCGCTCCTCTCCATGCAGGCTCCCGCTGGAAATCCATGTCAAACCAGGAGAAGCAGCCTTACTATGAGGAGCAAGCCCGGCTGAGCCGGCAGCACCTGGAGAAATACCCCGACTACAAGTACAAGCCCCGACCCAAACGAACCTGCATCGTGGAGGGGAAGCGGCTGCGGGTGGGCGAGTACAAGGCATTGATGAGGAACCGGAGGCAGGATGCCCGGCAGGGCTACGTGCTCGGGTAACACATCCCATCCTCCCATCCGAGGGGGAGCAGAGTGAGGAGCACCCCTGGACACTGATTGCGTTCCCCTCTGTCCCACAGGCCCCAGGGCAGCCAGATGCCCCCCAGCTCGTCGGATGTGCTGTCCCCGCGGCCGGTGGGCATGCAGCTGATGGAGCACTACCTGCCCCGCAGCATGGAGCCCAGCATGCCCGTCATCGTCAACACCCGCAGCCTCAAGGAAGGGGATGGAGGGGAGGACGGGCACTCGGTGCCTGATGCTGAGATGTTCCGCTACAGCGAGGAGGAGGACTCGGAGGGTGAGGACAAGAGCGACGGCGAGCTCGTGGTGCTGACGGACTGAGTGGGGCCGGGGGGGGGATGCAGAAGGGCTGGTTGCCACCAAAAGGGAGGTCACAGCATCCCCCCCGATGTGATGGGGCTTGGCTGAAGGGCTGAGCTTGGAGCAGAGGAAAGCAGGAGTCCCTGCTGCCTGCCTGCAAATAGGTCCTACAAAGGTGGGCATCCAGCATTTTGGTAGGTGCTTCCCAGGGAGGGGGTGATGAGCAGTGATGTGCTGCATGGCTGGGATGTGCCAACCCCACTGGGCAAGCTGGTGAGGGCTGGCT